ATGTGTTTTTTTAACTTTAAACCGCATAAACACATTTCATTACACCAAATACACAAAATAATGTTCTTTTTAGCAGCATCATATGACCCCTTTAAGTTATCATAAAACTATTTCGGAGTTAATGGTGCAATTTCTTACTATTAAATACAAATTAACATTGAAATAGTAGTTATTTGTGGACATTAGCGAACAAATCTTCTTGAGTTAGCTGCTCCAGTACACAGTGCTTTTGTGATGGTCTCAGTTAAATATAGGTGATAAGCTAGTTTATAGTTTGAGACATTTTTAGATAAGTTTAGAAATAAAAAGTGCTCACTCACATAGTAATATCTTATCTTATGACAGGTGGGATATTTGAGTGTCTCATCAGGCCTCTGAGAAGAGTCTGGAGATTCCTGTGCTGCCGTGGACCTGAAGAGACAGTCTGAACGATTTCCACAATATCAGCAGGAAACACTTGAAGTCATTAGCATACTTCTTAATAGATCAGTAGTTCATGAATAGGAAATAGCAATGTGTATGAAAATGTAACCATTTGAATATTACATTAATTTAGTACAAAGTGTTACTTTGTGTACTAAACACCATGAAACACTGTGGCAAAAATGTATTTCTCTATGTAATGTTTTATTAGAAATAAAACGTTCAGTGGAAGAAACCTCACCACTTTTCAGTGACCATAGCTCTGTCCGTCCATGGTGAAGATCCTCAGGTTGTTTATCTTCACTGAGGTGAGGTGAGACCCAAATTGATTCTTTTATTTGCATGCAGAATTGTGGTAATGTGAATTTATCTGCTAGAACGGTGCTTATCAAACCTGTCCTGGGAACACCCCACCACTGCACATTTTGGATGTCTTCCTCATTTAACATACCTTATTCAAGTCATCAGCTCATTAGTAGAGACTGCAGGACATCTATTGGGTGTGTCCAATGTGGGAGACTTACAAAACATGCAGTGGGAGATGCACTGCACTAGAACAATGTTTTGTTTTTTGTCAGTTCTTACTTACTTAAAATACAAATTAAACCGTCATTTTAAACACCAGAGATCCTGAAAAATGTGTTGCCTACATGCCTGTTTTTTAAGCAACAGTGCATTAAGTTACACATTCTGACTATGATATGACTTGGTTCCATTTGCCTGTGCTTTGGCTTCATTGTCTTTTCAAATTTTTAAATATTTTAAATAACATTTATTTCTTATGATCAGGGTCAAAAATGAACTTTTCCATTAAGAAGCAATATTTGTGATCTGGATTTGATTCCCTTCGGCATTTTTACCTTTGTAATGGAAATTTTTATGGTGAATTTATTAAATATATCTGTCTTTTCAAATTATATCAAAATGTTTAATCAATCAGAATACTGTAGACTGTTTATGGTTAAGGTGGAATACAGGCATTTACACAAGAGTTTCATAATGTAAATAGCCTACATGTGTGTATGTGTGTGTGTATATATATATGTGTGTGTGTGTGTATATATATGTGTATATGTATATATATATATATATATTAGGGCTGTGCAATTTGGGGGAAAATATCAAATTGCGATTTTTTTTTTTTTGACATTGCGATTGCGATTTGATTTGCGATTTTAAATTTGCAAAGTCAAGCTTCAGCTCAATATTGCCAATAATGTGCAGCACAGTATGGGTATCATTACCCTGCTGAAAAAAAACAATAGAAACTATCACAGAAATTCTTATAGTTTCCATTTAAACCATTATAAAATTCCTTTTTGTTCTGGGCATTATTCCAATAGGAATTACTGTTGTTCTATTGGTTGCCATCTGCCAGATTACATCCCACCAATAGAATCCATCAAATAGACACCACATTATAGGTTACATTAAAACCAATACAATTCCCATTATAACCCTGAAATCCATTACATTTTTTATTGTGTTTTGGGAGGGGTTCTATTGTTTTTTTTTCAGCAGGCAAGATTATAATGGTATAACTACTTTTACAGAATTAACTTAATTACTGAATTTCACAGAAAATATTTGTTTATTTTTTATAAATAAAGAACTGTATTAAGTCAATTATTAAAGTATTACATATGATAGGCTGATTTATTCATTTTAAGTATTTGGGATTTTAAGAACAAGTGGAAAATGTGCTGAATGTTTCATTTCATCCAAGTGAAATTAGCAAGCAGTTAGACTGAATTTACATTCGTTTTAAACGCGGAGCCAGGCGCGAGTCGACACAGGTTGCGCGCGTGCGTCAAGCCTCATCCATACTGCCAGATGCGCTCGTGAAGACTGCAGACTGACAATTCCAGAGACCAATAGAAAAATAAAGTAGTGTATTAGCAGACATAGGCAAAGTGCGCAGGTTTCTAGGATTGCACTGCCTATAGTGTGTGATGCGTGGTTTGCGAGTGGTAGTAATAGTAGAGATATGGAAACACATAGTAAGAGTTGGTCATAAAAACTTAAACAGAACTGAAGCAAGGTGAAGAAAAGAGGACGAATCAAAAGCGATACTTATGTCCCTTGTTGGTGTCCCTGCCCGGTGGAGTCGCACGGTAGAGTCGATGGTCTTTACACTCTTCGGTCTGCACACGAGGCGGCCTTCACGCAACGGCTGCCGCGACCGCTGTCGTGTAAACTAAGCTTTTTTATACCCGTCTAACAAAATACTAAATTAATTCAGCTGGACACACTTTCCTTATTTTCTAACTTACATAAAGTTTAAATAGCCTATTTCCAGTTTTGTATACCCAAGTAAACATGTATAATATATAACCAAATAAATAAGAAACGTAGAACGTTTATTAGCAAAACGAGTAAGAAAG